GGGGGGGGGGGGGGGGGGTGCAGGAGGAGGGAGACAGGGGAATCCGTGGCTAATATGTAAAAATAAATTAAATTATGAAATTTTTTTAAAAAATGCTTTAAGAACTTCAACTTTTCTTGACAGTGAGATACATCTGCTCCTGGCAGCACCATAAAAAAATTGTTCTTTAGTACATTCACAAAGATGTGGATCCATCATAAAAATCTCATCACTCCCTAAAAAGACTTTGTGACCACTGAGTAGGTGTCCCCAAACCTCTTATAATTACTAACTTGTTTTCAGTCTTCAAGGATATGACAGTTGGGGGTATTTCACGTAAATTGGTTCACAGATTGCAGCCCCTTTTGCCCCTTAGCAAAATATTTTCAAGGATCATCTGTGTTGTAACACTTGCCAACCTTTCATTTCTTTCATTTTAATATTGATGCTAGCATTCCGTTGTGTGTGTGTGTGTGTGTGTGTGTGTGTGTGTGTGTGTGTGTGTGTGAGTGCTTGCACAAGCGTGCCTGGGTTGCTTCTCTGTTCTTCAGGTGGTGCCAGAGATTGAACCCAGACTACTGTGCATGCGAAGCGAGCATTCTTTTTGTCTTGCTTTGTTTTAATGCTGAACTGTGCCCCAGCACTCCAAAGGGGGATTCTAGATGGGTGCTCCATCACTGAACCACACACTCGGGCACTCACTGGTGGATGATCAGCAAACATTACACCAATGAGCTGTGCTCCATGCCTCTCGCAGGTGCCTTCTAGGTAAATGATCTGTCACTAAGCAATGTTCCCAGCACCTCACTGATGGATTCTAGGCAGGTGGTCTGCCACTGATACGTACCTCCTGTGCCTCAGTGGAGTATTCTAAGCAAGCACTGCACCATTTGAGCCTCTCCTCAGCCTACCCAGTGAGTTTTGACCACAGCCCCAGGTGATGGACTTCTGAGTTTTTTTCCATATGACTGGGGCTGTTGTAAGTAGCACTGATGTAGATATCATACACAGGTTCTTGTGTAGGCCTATGCTTTTCTCTGTCTTTGGTGTCTACCAAGGGTGGAAACTGGATTATATGACACCTCTGTGCTTAACATTCTAAGAAGCTATCAGATTGACAATCTTATTGTGTATTTGTTCATTCTTCAAACAATAATTGTAAAGAATATCCCTACAATTTTTGGAGTACTGGTCCACCCAGAGCATAAAAGACTCAATGATGGAAACACTCATTGATAAAACTGATAAAACTTATTGCTCACTGGAAGGATGAGCTGGATAGCACTGAGTGTGTCTTTTTCTCTGATGTATTCAAGTTGCCAGACACTTCCGGGGACAGAGCCATTGATCAATAAATACTTATTAAATGCCTGATGGAGTCCCTTGCCAAACAGTTACTGAATTTTCTCTTTACACTTTGGGCATAGTTTTACATATTTTGATGACTAGCCTTGGTTCTACATTTGGCCAATTCCCTCATCCATTCACTAGTCACTGCATTTCTCACTCTTCTTGCATGGTATTTCAGTGAACAGTCATCAATTATTTGAGGCAAAGTCTCACTATACTACACCAGACTGGCCATGAACTCATTATGTGAACTAGGAACTCACGAGCCTCCTGCCTCAGCTCCCTGAGTGCTGAGATTACCACCATGCCTAGAGAGTGCCTGTTCATCTTCAGATCTTCTTCATTACAAAGCTCCAAGCCCAGGCTGGAGACAGAGCTCAGTGAGTCAAAGCAAGGCTTCCGCGAGTGACAGCCTGGGTCTCCAGGACCCACATGGTGGAAGAGAACAGACTTGTTCCTTCAGGCTGTCTTCTGATCTCCACACTGTACCTTGGCGCGCACGCGCACACACACACACACACACACACACACACACACACACACACACAAAATAAAGCTTAAAAGAGATTTTGAGAAAGCTCAAAACCAATCACAATCATATAAGGAGAGTACTTGGCTTTGGAGAGATGGTTAGTTGTGTAAAAGGACACATTGAGAAGTTCAGCAAGGTCTCTCATGTGCCCCCTTAGCTCAGTTCATGTCTTCATGTCTTCGTGCAGCTTGTACTAATTTGCTGAGTTCTATGTCTGTTCGTGTGTGCATATTATACTTCTATCTGGTCAAAATAACCATTTAAATGGCCTAATTGTAGAAAACAAAAATATTAGCCATCAACTATAGTGGGTATGGATGCCACAGTCAGATTCATTTGGCATTTGTTTGTTTTCCTTTCATTTTAATAAATACTAATTTTTTAATTTGTGAGGAAACAAAATTTATTTTAATTTAGTAACAAGAGACTGAGATGGCTCAGTAGGGAAGAGCCCTTGCTGAGCAAGCATGAGGACTTGATTTCAAATACCCAGCACCAACATAAAAAGGAAAACATAGATGTGAATGCCATTAACATCAGCATTGCAGGAGAAGGCATGGATTTGTGTGCCTATACTCTGGCATGAGGGTGCGGAGATAGGTGGATCCCTTCTTGAGCTGGTTGACCAGCTGGCAAGTCTAACCAAAGAGGCAAGCTTACTGATCAATGAGAGACCCTGTCTCAAGATTACAGGGCAGGTGAGAAGAGGGGGAGACACCTAATGCCTCACTCTGTCATCTGCATGTGCATGCAGATTCACTTGACATTTGTTTGTTTTCCTTTCGTTTTAATAGATACTATTTTTTTTAATTTGTTAAAAAACAAAATTTATTTTAATTTACTAACAAGAGACTGAGATGGCTCCCCCACTTCCACTTTCATGTGACATGAAAGTGGAAGTGGGGGAGACTGGAGGTGGAAGGGACAAGTGGGGACAGGGAGACAGAACAGAAACAGAAGGCAAGCAACCAAACTAAGTGTACATTCCTTTGTGTTGTGGTTAAAAAGAAAGTAATGTAAAAGGGAAGGGAGGGAGGGAGGGAGGGAGGGAGGAAGGAAGGAAGGAAGGAAGGAAGGAAGGAAGGAAGGAAGGAAGGAAGGGAAAAGAAAAGCCAGAAAGACTATAAGATGCAGAAGTTAAGGCCTTGAAGGGGTGTACATGAACTTCTCTCTTCAGAACATGGCATGGTCGCTGGCTGCACTCATGAACTCAGAGCGGCTTTTTACCTTCCTCACAGTGACTGCTCTTTAAACTACTAGCAGCCAGGCTGCTCAGGTAACAGCCTAAGGGGAATTCTGTTCCCCCAGACAATGGCTCTGTTGCTGCCCACAAAGTTAGCTTTACTAAATCTCTATCATTCTAAGAAAACTCGAAATTCAAAGGCTAGGGTGAAATCCTGCAAACTCAGAGAGTCAGAGAAGCAGCTGTCTAACTTTCTCTGGTAGCTGGCATCCCAGAACCCTCTCTCTTTCCACACCACCACAATTTAAAAATAAAAATAAATAAATAAATAAACATTGCTTCCTGTCAACTACTTGCTAACCCCACCTCTCTAAGCCCAGATTCATTTTATTTAATTAACACAAATGCAACACATCTTTACATAGTTAAACAAATGTAGCCTAAGCAAAGGGACCACATCCTTGCCTAGTTAAACAAATATTCCATGACCCACCTCAGCTGCGGTCACCTGCACATGATCAAGCAACACTCCGGCAAGCAGCACTAACGGGACTCCATAAAAAAAAAAAAAAAAAAGAAAAAAGAAAAAAAAACAAACTTTTTTTTTATGACAATGCATGCAAGTAGGAGAGGGATGAGTTGGGGGAATACCTTGAGGAAGTGTTGAGGAAGTGGGGGGAAGGCAGGAGTTGAAGGTGGCTATAATCAAGATACTTTGTATATATGCATGAAATTGTCAAAGAAAATACATTTTAAATATTTTTAAATGGCATTGTGATAAGCAGTATGTAAATGTAATGTTGCTTTGATTTCATTTGATCTTCCTTGTGTTTCTATATTCCTGTTTAATGAGAGAGAATTAAAGATGGGAGAAATTCAAAAACCATATGTACTGTAGACACATCTTTAAAACCCACGCTCTTGAAGGTCATGCCACCCTCTCTCCAACCCTTGCATTCTCTCTAAGCTTTCATATCTTATTGACAAAAGAACCCCAAAATCACAACCCCTGGTCATGTGGTTTTTGAATACAGCACTCAAATTAAAATTCTAAAATAAAGTCCTCTGTAAATATCCACTGATTTCTGTTTGTATTAAGAACAGAAGGGACCGATAATGTGGCTCTGTATGTAAAGGCACCAACAGCCAAGCCGGATGATACAGTATGCTCTTCAGGACTCGGTGGTACAAGGAGAGAACCAACTCTCACAAGTTGTCCTTCTGAACTCCTCACATACAATTAATTAGTTAATTATAAATAAATAAATATGTAATTTGAAAAAATTAAGAGAATAAGGGGCCCAAAGAGATGGCTCAGTAGTGAATAGAGAATACTATTCTTGCAGAAGAACTAAGTTCAGTTCCCAGCACCTACAGGGATATGCCACAAATGCCTGTAACTCCAGCTCCAGGATATCTGATGCCCTCTTCCAGAATCCTCAGCTACCAGCGTGCACATGTGCATGCACTTACATACACAAACATACACATAATTTTAAAAAATTAGAAAAAAAAAAACTCTGAACTACCCAACACGGTGTTTTTCTGCTCTAAACTGAATATGAAACAAT